TGAATTGTGTTGAGTGATTTTTCAAAACGGCTTATTGCATTAAAAAGAGGATACTTTAATTAATAATTGGTGATATTTCCTCAAGGATCATTCAAGAAATTAATTTTATAGCGAATTTTGAAAATTATCGATGACAATTGCGACATCGAGAATCAAAACTTCAAATATTGTTTCCTCAAAAACTAAGAGCTATTTTTCAAAACGGGTTGGTTCATTGGAAAGAAGACACCTTTATTAACACTTTGGGAAATTTTCATGCTCATATTCCAAAAACTAGATTTTATATGAATTTTTAAAACTTAATCGGCGAAAATTACAAAATTCGAAAAAATTGTCCATCATTTCAAAATTTTATTTCTCAAGAACTGAAAGTGATTTTTGAAAACGGCTTATTGCATTAAAAAGAGGATACTCTAATTAATAATTGAAAGTAATAACAGCGACAGTTCTGTTAGTAATGAATGTGATGATGAATTACAAGCGAAGAGAAGAAAACTAGACGAAACTGCAACAAGAGATTTTATATATCGTATTGGGATTGTTACAATGAGGTTGCTAATGACAAACCTGATATCAATAAAGTTGTAATCAATGAAAAAAGTTCTATTGGGGTTGAACTTGATTATTATTTGCAGTGTCCAACACCTAAAAGAGATACTAATTCCTGTGAATGGTAGAGTACTAATTGTAAGTAATACGTAATCCAGCCAAAGCCGGATATTTGGTAACTATCCGCTAACCGGCCGGATTGTCCGAATAAGCCGGATACCGGATAGTTGCCGGATATCCGTTCCAGCACTAGTATAAATGTGTATGATGGCTATTTGATTATCCATTTTAGTTTAACACTAGCATCTAGTATTTTAAATCCTCTTTTCCGAAGATCTTTAATAATACTTTTTCACATGAGTGGGGGAGTTTATTAACAATAACCCTTATTGGTTTGTTATGTTTGTTTTGATATGAGTACCAAGCCCGCCATTGGTTATTAAGCAGCTTTATCAGTTCTCTACAGTCATCGCTATTAGGAACATTAATTTTGACAATAAAGATTAATTTCTTCTACTGTTATTGGAGGCGGTGTATCTACTTTTTAAGTTTTTGACATTCCTTATCAATTCGAATTGATCAATTTGGCTGATTCGACTATTTGAATTTGCTGCTGTGGAGGTGTTAACATTGCCTCTTTTGCTAATTCTTCTTCATTGGTTTGGTATCCTGTTTCTCTTGTAACTCCGAATACTTTTTTGATAAGTTTACTAATTTGGTTTGTAATGGCAAATAATTACTTTCCATATCTTTAATTCTACTTTAAGCTAGAACCAAAGCATCGTAAAATATTGGATAATTCAAAATGTATGAGATATCTTCACTTTGTCGTTACAATTTCTGTAGTATTTACTGATTACATGTACCTACAGCTTTATCAATTGTAAGTATATGTCGAAACACATAATTCCATAAATAATTTTGATTGGCGATGGCATTTGAAAACGCACCTTAAGTTTCCCATATCACATAAGTTTGTCCATATCACACATTTAAGTTGTTTTTAGGCTCATTACTACCATCTTCTGGTTAAGCTATCTAAGGGATTATTACCACGGTTACGGCTATTTTGCGCGCTCTGATTGACTAGTAGATGGGTTTATCTATAAGATAAATTTAACTACAAGATGGTAGTAATCGACCTTAATATTTTTTCTTGTATTTAGCGGAATATCGACGGGTCCTCCCCCGAGTTATGCACGAGATTTAAACGACGAAACAATTAAAATAGGCGATCCTTTATTTTTATCCTGCCAAGGTAAAGAAAAACTTAATTTAGAATGCATTAAACTAATCTAATAAAATCTTTAGTGTCTGTACCTCCATGGCCAAAATCAATAATTTGGTTCAATTCCGAGGGTCGTATTAACGACGAAACTCCTGAAGGTAGATACAAATCTATGGCAGATGGTTTAGGAGGGTACATGTTGGAAGTAAGACCAACGGAAGCCGCTGATCAAGGACAGTGGAAATGTGTCGCTACAAGTGATAGTGGAGCAAAATCAGTATCAACTTGTGAAGTTCATATGATCAGTAAGAAATATTTCAAACACTCTAACCGCAAAAATAATTTTTTTATATTTGTAGTTCCAAAACACTTTAGAAAACCACGATTTATGGAAAGTCTAAAAGCAGTCTTAACTGAAGAAGGTTTAGTTTCATTCGAATGTAAAGTAGTTGGTTCACCGACGCCATTACTTCGATGGTTTAAAGATGGACAAGAATTAAAACCTGGTGATGTGTATCAATTAACGGGGTCGAATTCTTTAGGTTCATATTGTTGTATAGCAAGAAATTGTATGGGCGAAGCTGTCAGTTCGGCCGAGTTAACAGTAGAAGACATTCAAAATCAACTAAATGACGAAGAACGTCAACAACTTTTATCAAAAAGCCAAGCACCCAAATTTATCCACGGATTAAAAAGTTGCGAAGCTCGTATTAACGAAAACTTCAAATTCACCGTTCAAGTTAGCATAGCACCTTTACCCAATTTATCTTGGTACAGAGATGACCAACCGATCGAGATGGAATTACAAAAATATAACGCCAAACAAGAATCCAATGGTTTTGGTACTTTGGATATTCTTCCTCTTGAATTTATGGATCAAGCTGAATGGAAATGTGTCGCTAGAAATGATTTCGGACATTCAATAACTTCGTGTTTTCTCAAACTTGTTATCCCAAAACATTTTCGTAAACCGCGATTTTTGGAATGTTTACGTGCAGTTTTATCAGAAGAAGGTGCAGTTAATTTGGAATGTAAAGTGATTGGAGTTCCACAACCAATTTTAACTTGGTATAAAGATGGAATGGAATTGAAGCCTGGAGATATTCATAGAATTACATCAGGAGAGGTAAGTCCAATCATCAAATTTTTCAATGTTATAAATTGTTGTTGCATTAATTCATTCACGAGTTTAATAGTTAAGTTACTGTTTAATTAAGGAATTCTAGTTTAAACATTAATTAAATTTATGCAAACATAATATATTTTTATTGGCACTGCAGAATTAGTCATATTCTGTAGGTTTAAATTCTTTGATTCAAAATTAAAGTTTTTTTTTTAATTTGTTTTTATTTTGTCGTTTTTAGTTTATGATTTATTATCATTTTAATTATTTATATTTAAATAAAATCATCGACGTCATCATACTTTACTTGTTATTTAGGATGGAACATGTTGTCTTGGAACTTACACTTGCGAAGCAAAAAATTGTATGGGAATTGTAGCGAGTTCAGCATCTTTACTTGGATTTGAGGATCAATCAAAAACAAGAGCGGAACAACAAAGAATTGAATTAGCCAAAGTTCCTTCGCTATCAACAATCCACGAAGAAAGAACATCTCAACTTTACGATACACCACAAGCTGACCTTTCATTGACTATCAACGATCATGGAGAATTATCATTTTCATTTGACGGCAAAGAAGTTTCTTTGTCATTGTATGAAACGCCAGATATCACTGAAGATGAAGCCATCCAAATCGTAGAAATGTATGCTGATCAACTCTCAGAACACGTTTCAGGTAAGAAAACTTTTTATTAAAAATTATGTCATTAATAATTAATTTTTTATCAAGAACATAATGTTGTTGAATTACCACCGTTGAGATTTACGAAAGAAACTTCAACATCTGGGAATTTCGTAATGGAAGCAGTTGTAGTTGATGTTTCTGATGATTACTTTACATCTGCTGAAGAAGACTTAAGAACTGAAGCTGACGTAACGGAAATTTATTCCATAACCGAAGAAGGTGCAAGAGCATTATCACCAAGTGGAACATCAAACGGAGATGTACCAAAACGACCACCACGAAAGAAGAATGATTCACAAAAAAGTTCCAATTCCTATTATAGTCTATCTAAAAATGCATCAATCGATACAGACGTAGCCGATGAAAGTTTAGCAATGGATACAGAATCATATGGAGATTTTGAAAGTGCAATAAGTTCAGATCGTATTCGTGGTGAAGAAGACATGGCATTTCAAGTTGCTGCGATAACTGAAACAACAAGCCTTCCTGGTGATAGATTATTAGAATCACCGGTTAGTCCACAAAACACTCACGAAATTGGTTCTGATTTGCGTGTTGATAGAGATGAAGGAGTTAAAAAGAAGCGAAGAAGACGAAAACAATCTCGACAATCATCTCAAAGTTCTGACGAATCTTCTAAAGAAGGTTTAGTCAAGAATGGTGTAAAAAAGAAGGCTCAAAGTTTAGAATTAGGAGGTGATATCTTTTATAGAGACGTCCAAGGCGAAGAAGGTGATGGTTTGGTGATAGATCCAGAAGTAAACGCGATGAAAATGAAGGAATTATCTGAAAAAGAAAAAGAAGTAGCCGAAAAATTACAAAAAACTTTACAGAGTATTCAAGAAAATTTAAATAAAGTTGAACAAGAACTTGTTATCCAAACTTCTTTGAAAACAACAGCTGCGGCTGCTAATAAAAGTATAGAAGTTCTTCATTCTTTAATGCAACCAATACAAGATATGCAAATGTTCTTGCTTACGCTAGAACAGCAAGAAGAACAAAGAGAAGGCGTCTCTATAGCCGAAATGATAGCCCCTCCAATTTTTGATTTGCAAAAAGGTTTATCGATAGTTGAAAAATGCGTTGAAATGCAAGGAAAGGAACATACCTTGATTCAAAAAACTTGTTTTAACATTCTTGAAAAAGGTGGAAAACAAATTCAAAGAGGGTTAAAATTAATTGAAAATATGTCACTTTTAGAAAAAGAGATGATACCCACAAACGCAGCGGGAAGAATCACCCCATCAAAAATAATACAAGAAGTTTTAATCACGCTACAAGAAATGCAAAACGGATTAGATAAATCCGTTTTCATTATGAACAGTAAAGCCGCTTTGCAACAAGCCAAAAGAAAATCGCCCGCAAAAGAAACGGCAACAGTTAAAGAAACTGATATTCTCGAAACTGAAAGCGATATCGATATTCTTTTACGATTTGCCCAACCTGCGTTTGAATTACAAGAAACTTTAACAAACATTAAAGAAGAAATATTAGAAAGCGAAATATCTAAAAGTAATATTTACCAAAAAATTAAAGTTCATGTTGCAGAACTTGTCGATGAAATATCATCCGCCGAAAGACATGTTCATAAATTAAAAGAATCAAACGTTGAGCAACCTTTATATTCAGCTTTAATCGAACAATTAACGAATCCTATTAAAGAAATTTCTAACAACCTCGACATTTTACCCACATTAGAAACAGCTGACAAATACGATGAAGCAGCTAAATTAGATATGTTCGAAGAACCAATCGAAGAAATAATCAATTCTCTTTCAAAAATGGGGAAAGATGTTACATCCTTAGAACTTAGTCAAGCTGAATCAAGCACAGCGGATGTCGTTAAAGAAGTTTTTGACCAAGTGAGTCAATTAATTTTCCAAAACGTACTTCAAACCGTCCAAGATTTCTTATACAATTTAGAAAACGCCCAAAAATCAACAACAGACACCGTTGTACTTGAAGCTTTAAGACAAATGTCTTCTTTACAAAAAGATTTAGCGACAACCGTCAAGAAATCCGCTGAAGTTAATACGGAAGGTGCCGTTATGGCTTTAGAAAGACTCGCTCAACCACTCGATATGATCAACAACCAACTTTTGGATATACCAACAGCTCAACCGAGTGATATTCTCGATGATATGGTTGCTTGCTTAAGTATCCTTGAGGATTGTATCGTTTTAAACGAGAGCATTGAAGAAAACGAGAATTTATTGGTTTCATTCAGTATTCTGAAAGCACGCGCCGGGGAAGTTAAAGAGAACGTTTGTATGTTAATCGAACCTCCTTCAGTTAGCGAATATCAACGACCGCCTCTACTACAGCATTTATCAGAAGAGAAAGTTACCGATGAAGTCGTCGAAGAGAGTGCTGCAACACTTCCTGTTCCTCCGATTGTTGAAGAGGACTCGGCCGTTTCGAAGTACGAAGATTTGAAAAAATGTATCGCAACGATACAAGATTTATCAATTATGAGTGAAGAAACTGAAATTGAAATCGACTCAGAAACATCAACTGAAAAAGCAAAAGCTTTCGTGGAAACCGTACAAGACTTAGAAAAGTTTTTAGTAACACTTCAAGAAGATTCAACGGTTGAAACTGCTCAAAAGATTCCTACTGAAATATTCCAGGAAGCTTCCGAAGTGATTGAGTGCGTTGAAAAATTAAAGAATTCTGCTATTTTTGAAAAGACAACCGAAGAACCTGTTATTACAGTTGAAGATATCGTAGAAATAAAGACATTATCGGGACCACTCCGTAGATTAAGTAAAACTATCGATATCATAGAAGGACAAAAAGATGAAAGATTAAAAGTTTTTAAGAACCTCGAAGAACCATTAAAAGCCATAGAAAATTGCGTCATTACTTTAGGGGAACACAATGTTTCAATTGGAAACATCGATGAACATTTAGCGAATGCAATCGAAATTATTTCATTAGAAAAGAATAACTTTGATATTTCTTTAGAAGATGCAAGACCTCTAATTGGAATATCAGATCATTTGAATTCAATTAAAAATCTTCTTTGGGAACTACACGAAACCAATTTATTAGATGTTGGAAAATTAAAAGCTACAATAGAATTATTACAACTAGAACTAAAAGACATCGAATCTAAAGATAACGTGAAATTCATCATTAAAGCCGTTGAAGAATTTACAAACCATCTTCAAGAAACGGTTTGCCCAACTAAAATTGAATGCAAAGCAATTAAAGATGTTTGCATATTATCTAATCAACTTGAACAACAACTTGCCGTTTTAACCGAAAAAGAATCTTTAAACCCCAAACAAGGCGAAATCAAAGATTTGCAGAAATCTTTGCGAGCAATGAACGAATCGATATCGAATATTGAAGCTATAGAAATGCCTTTAGAAACAATTGCATTTTTCGAGCATTTACAACAATGTCTGCAATCGGCGCAGGAGAGTTTCGAAGAAATGCAAAGCGTTGAAGTTGAATCAATTTCAGATTTAATGAAAGAAAAACCAAGTGTTATCGCAGATTTAAATAATTTGTTAGAATTAAGTGTTGTTCTTTCTGAACCAATTCAAGACCAATTAAAAGAAGTCGCGAAATGTGCGAATAAAGTTTTTGAGCTTTCCGAAGCTGATGTTGTATTAAGTACCACTGAAGAATATGTCATTTATCCACAAGAAACAGAATCATCTCAAACTAAAATAGCCATCGAAACATTATCAAAATATTTAACAACTATTGTAACAACTCCTTTGGATATAAATAATCCAAAACATGGTTTAATTTCAACAATAACTGATAAATTGTTTAAACCTTTCGAATTAAACATCAAAACTGCAACAGAAATAGAATTAAAAGATGACGATTCTGAGGCCATAAAACAATTAACTGGACTCGTTGTTAATATAGAATCAGCTACTTTTGAAGACAAACCAAAAATAACCGCTTCAAAAAAGATTATTAATGATTTAAAAGAAATTGAGACAATTCAAGTCGTTAACCCGGCACTAATTCCTTTGATAACAATAATGAAAGAAGCTGCAAAATCGTGTTTAGATGACATTAATGTAATTGTTGATGAAGATGCGCAAAATAGGCTTGTTAAAATGAAGGCTATTTCACAAGTAACTGATGCAGCGCAAGAATTGGTTAAAAATATAGCTTCTATTAAATATGCAGAGGTAGAAAAAGCGTTAGTTATAAAATTACAAAGAACTCTTTACGGGTTGCAAATGTCTATTAATGATTTAATTGATTCAGAATTAAACGATGAAGACCAAAAAATTATTCAACAATTAGAAAAATCTTTGCAAATAATCGACGAATTTATTTTATTAAAAACAGCAAGAAGTTCCAAACTAATCGAAAAAGATCAAGTATTAGAAAATTTGGATGTATTGGAAAATCTTTTAAATAAAAATATTTCTGAAACATCTCACATAAAATCGATGTTACCAGAACTAAACAATTTAGTGGCCAACTCAAAAATTGTAATCACCCAAATCCACGATGCACATCAAATCAATTCAAAATCAGAATTAATTAAATCTAAATTTACTAACGTTGCTCAAATTATAAAAGAAAAAGTTGAGCAATCGAATCAAGAAAGTAAAATGATTATTTCCGATATCGAAGCACATTTAAGAGAATTAAAACAAAATGCTTCTATGGTTTTACAACAACCGCAAGAGAATCAATTATCTGATCAAGAAACTAATTATATTCAAGTATTAGAAAATACAGTGACTAATTTGGAAGAAGCTCTTTCAAAGAAAGTCGAAAAACAAACTGCTATAGCGAAAATAAAAGAAATCTCGCAAAATATTGAGTTCGTAGACGTTGGGGAATCTCCACTTAATATTGTGACGCCTCAAATAAAAGAAATCTGTAAAATTGTTATTACAATGTTAGAAATTGTCGAAAAAGATGAAATTAAACCAAAAGAAGAAATTGAAACACAAGAAATCAAAGAAACAGCTAACGATGAACACGATTTATTAAGTGTAGAGGTGAAAGATGAAAAACAAGTTGTTGTAGCTCAAGAACAAGTACACATTGAAAGTAAAGAAAAAGAATTACAATTAGTCGAAGAAGTGGGTAAACAAGAAATTGAACAAAAATTAGTTGAAGTGGAATCGGATAAAGTGGAAGTCAATGTTTCGAAAGAAAAGGTTGCAGAAATAAAAATTGAAGAAACAAAAGGCATTGAAGTTCCACGCCTATTAGAAGACGTTAACATTGAAGAAGAGCAACTTAAAGTTGGAGAAATTGCTAAAATAGACGAAGTAAAAGTTGAAATTAAAGAAAGTATTGTGGAAGTTGAAGAAAAGAAATTGCAACCTGAAGAAGTAGAGAAAGAAAAACCAATGGAAAATGAAGATGAAGCAATGAAGGTGGAAGAACAACAACAAATTATTGAGCAACCTGTTCAAATAGAAGAACCAAAACCTTCAACATCAAAAGATCAAAAAACTACCAGTGAAGAAAATATTCCACATCAAGAAGAAAAGGCACAATTATTAATGGAAGTAGATAAAGAATCGCTGCTGAAGGAAGAAGAGATAAAGGTATGTTATATGTTATTATTTATATTGCTATCATAAATTAATTTAACTTAAACTAATTATTAATTAATCTTTACATATTGAAGACTCGTTACTACCATCTTTTGATTATGACGTGCAAGGGATTTTTGTCATTATTACAGATTAATAATAAATTGATATATATCTATAGAAATTGATGAATTTGACAGAAAGATGGTAATCGTAACTAGCTCACCAATGTTATTGATGCCCTATCTTTAGTTCACTTCATTTTCACTCTCCCTTGTATCACATCTTTTTAGTCTATCGTTTCTTTCTTTCAACACATTTCCGTTCTTCCCTAGATTTAATATGCATATGTATTGTAACTCCCACTTTATTAAACTGTTGAAACTTGTTCCACTCTGATGGTATCATTTTCTTCTCCTATATCTTTAGGAGTAGGTTGTGGAGCCCATTGAACTAGTCCGTTGTCTCAACTCCGCTGCCCCTATCATCACTGTCCTCATTCCATTCTTTATTCAGAGCTCGTGTCTCGTCGCCTTCTTCTCATAATTCTCTTTGTATTTCCTTCCTCAGTTTTTCCCGTACAACTGGTTCCTTCAATCACTCTGTAGATTAAGTTTGGCGTGCCTGTGGTTTTTCTGTTGTAATGTGCTGTTAATTCTGCTAAATTTTACCTGAACTAGATAGTGATCGGAAACACAGCTGGCCTCACATCTAGTATATCGGTTGGTCTATTTGATTATAAAAGTTACTACTATCACATTATATTCTATTGTGACACTGCAAGAAGTATCAAATCCTTTGTAGGCAGTATCAAATCTTCTGTAAGTAATAGCTAGATTTTTAATAGAAATTTCTAGCCTCCCACTGGCAGAATATAATTTTCACTGGAATCAATAAATAAATCTTCTCTTAACGGTATCTAGTCTTTATTAACAGTATCTAGTTTTCAGCTATCTACACTCCTATCATCAATATGTAGCTCTTCGCAATCAATTTGTAGCCTTTTATTAGTAGTGGGCGGTTTTCCTGCATTCGAATCTAGACTTCTACAAGTAGTAACTAGTCTTTTACAAGTAGTATCTAGTCTTTTACAAGTTGTATCTAGTCTTTTACAAGCAGTAATAAGTCTTATGTAAAACAGATTTTGTCTCCTATTAGAAATGTCTAATGCTCTGTCAGTAGATTCTTTTAAGCGATTTAATACTATATATCTCTATAACTAACTATATATCTTTATAACTATATATCTCCGTTCCATCTCCTTTCTCATTTCACGACCTTCTCGACCTTCCATGTTTCTTTCTTTTCTGGGATACTCCATTTTTACAACATATACTCTTCTCTCGATGTCGGCGTTTATTACCCATATCTCGCTTCCATAACATAGTACGTTTCTACTGATGTTTTTCCTATTCTCTTCTTATTTTGTTTTCATATATTCTTGTTCCACCATGGACTATTAAGGCATCCTGTAACTTTTTTTCTTATCTTCCTATACCATTTTTGTCCTGTCGCCCGGCATTAAACTCACTTGTTTGATTATTGTGTCGTCGTTGATTAATATTTGGAACTTGGTAGCATTATTAATTACTAGGTGTTCTGTTTTTTTCTAAACTGACCTCCAACCCCCATGTTTTACATTTTCCATAGTGTCCTTATTATGAACTCCAAGTCATATGCGTCGTATGGTGGTACTATTTGGTCGTTTGCAAAGTGAAGTGAGAAGAGGTGGTGCTTGTTTATTGGAATACCTATTCTTTGGATCTTTCTTTTCCAATCCTTTAATGCCACTTCAACATATGCTTTAAAGAGCATCGGTGAAAAACTACAACTCTTTGGGATTTACAAATTTCCGACCACGCGCACACTTCTGTTCTTCGGCATCTATCACTTGTGATCTGTTGCGTTATACCTCGGATATTCTAAGTTGCTGTTTTCAAAATTCGTTTTCTCACCAATTTCTGTTTATAATTTTCGCTCCTATTCCGCGGCTGGTTTAAAAGCTTAACCATTTTTTAACAAATATAAGGTAGCCAACTCTATGTTTCAACCCAAAACTTGGCCTTTCCTTTAAATGTGAATATTTTTATTCTAGCAGGTTTCAAAATTCAGTTATGTTATTAAATTCGTACAGCATTTTAATGTCAAATTTTCTTCCGTCTTCTACAGCCATAGGTCATTCTTCAATATAATTTCTTTCAGAAATTGATCCTTCTAAATTAGCCATACAGCATTTCCTCATAAATAGGCTACCTGAAAAAAGTGTCTTCAGAACCAGCTCTAACTAGGCTTAGCTACAGTTATTTATCAACAACATCTTGTAAAACTCTCATAATTAGAGAAAGTCTTTTTAGTACTCTCATATGTATTACTATTTACTTTTATTGGTGTTATTGCACGATTTACTGTTACAACTTGTTCGTCTGTCTGGTGCAAATATGTTACGATCAGAACATGTATTCTTTCTTATTATGCAAAATTGTCGTTATCTTGATTGTATAAACTTTGAAATGGGAAATATGTTGTTTACTTTTGCAATGCTTTTCTATTGGCGGACGATCAGCTTGATATTAAGACAATTGTAAGACATCTGTATTGCAAATTCTCCAGATGCTTCAGATCCAACAGACGACTGCTATGCAAGTAGTACTGAGCTCAACACGTCACCAAATTGGTATGGGTGGAATCATTACTCAAGCCACTTTTCTTCCGAATTCAATATGATTTTATTACTTGCATTACGTGCTCATTAGAAACCAGTTCATCTATCTATCCCACGGAGAATCATCGAATCGTCCTATTTTGCCCGTTTTTATTACTCAAGTAAATAACTAATCCATAACATAATTCATTCTGATTGTTTTCGGACGCTAGGTTCCGTTTAAACTCCAAAACGCGTTTGTTTATCGTCAGATTTAATATCCATGTTATATTATATATTTTGTGAATTGTGACAGGTATCCCAAGAAGTAAAAGAAGAAAAACAAATGGTTGAAATGCAAAAAGACGAAATAACATCAGTTCAAACTGAAGAACCCAAGCCATCAGTCCCATCAAAAACCGAGGAAATTTCAAAGCAAGAAGAAATCACTCCACCTGAAGTAGAAAAGAAAGAAAATTTATTGGAAGTCAAAAATGAACAACAAATTCTTGAAGCACCAAAAGAAGAACCAAAACCATCAACATCAAAAGATGTGAACCTTGAAAATAAATCTGATGAAGAAAAATTAATTATTACGGAATTAGAAAAGAAACCAACAGAAGTTAAACAACCAATAATTAACCAGTTGGAATCAATAAATACTTTTTGCGTATCAAATGTAACAAGAGAATTACCCCAGAAAGAAAAATTAGAAAGAATCGTAAATATTATTTCGGTAATTGCAAAAAGTATGACAACTTCAGAAATAAATGTAATCGAAGATCTTGGAAAAATATCAATTATTGAAAATTTATTAGAAAAATGTTTAGAATCGATTCAAAGTGAAATCGTCACAAATAAAATTTCCCAAGAAATCGTTGTAAACATCAAAAAAGACTTAGTTGACTTACCAACTGAATCTCAATCTGCACAAATAATTTCAATTTTACAACAACTAATTCGAGTGATTCTAAATGAAGAAGTTCAAATACCTGTTGTAAAATCATTGAAAACCCTTAAAGATTCTGTTGGTTTAATTGAAAAAGAAAAATTCTCAGAATCTAAACAAGCAGCAATCAACGAATTAGAAAAATCAATTATCGCTTTAGAAACTACTCTTCAAAATAAACTAAGTACGACTGCTAATTTAGATAAAGACGAAGTGAATGCAATCGAAAAAGCTGAAAAAACATTATCAGAAATAAATTCATTTTTAGTAACGGCTCAAAATATTTCTTTAGAAGAATCTTCAGCTTTACCAGATGTTACGGTTAACGTTGTAAAAACTTCGATTGAAGAATTACGTTTGGCTGTCGTAGCTATAAAGCAAGACTCCCAAGTAAAAGAAATAATGGAACCTCTCGAAGAAACGGCTAAAAACGTCATAAATCTTTTTGAAGGAATACCAGAAGAAGAAGCTTTAGCGAGTAAATATTCCGAATCGATGGCTAACGCTTTACAAAATACGATAAGAACCATCGTTATGATGGATAAAACGAAGTTAGAAGACCTTAAACGAGATATCTTCAATCATATAGGAAAACAGTTAGTTAAATTAGAAGAAAAAATATTAAAGGTTAGAAACGTTGGATTAAGACACGATATGGCTGCTGTATTAGAAGCGGGGGAAAAATGCATAAATCATTTTAATGAATATTTAGCAAACACTCAAAATGTTAATTATGAAAATGTCGATGAAGAAAAATCGAAAGCTTTAATTGCAACGTTGAAAGAATTTCAAGGTTTAGAAGAAAACATTGGAAAACATTTAACTTACACTCCAATTGTTGAACAACTCAAAAATGTTAACGTAAATATTTTTAAATTATTAGAAAAAACCGAGCCTGTCACACCAAAAGAAATACCCGAGTCATTAAAGAAACTTCAAAATATTTTACAAGATCTTCAAGAAAACGTTTCAAGCTTAAACCCAGCTTCGGACGTTAAAGCACAAAAAGTAGCTGTGCATGAAATGCCGAGACCTTTAACGGCACTCCAATTTATTGCCGAAAACATCCTCGTTGGAAAAAGCGAAAAGTTATCCCAAGATGAATTACACGTTTTAGAAATAACAGCAGCTTGTATGGAAGACATAAATACAATAATCGAAGAATCTGATAGTAAAGGAGAAATTGAGAAAATTGAGGAATCGCTAAGTAAACTTCAAATTGCTGTTGCTAGTGTTAACCAAGAGTCGCAAATAAAAGATATTCTCGAACCTTTACAAGATATTTCAAATACCGTGGAGAAAATTTTAGAAAAAGAAAAGGTTGCTCAGAGCGAATTAAAAGAACAAAAAAGTTTGGCGATTAAAAGATTTTCTAGTTCCGTTACAAATCTGAGTAAAGTAATTTTAAAATATGTTGAGCAAAAGTTACCTGAACCCAAAATGATTGTTTTAACTGAGTTACAAAAACCTTTAAGGGCTATTATTGAAAGTATGGGTGAAATAACCGATGAAAATGTTACAAAGAAAGATATGAAAGAATTAAATAATTTAACTGATTCCGTTGACAATATAGCTAAATGTTTAGAAGAAAATCAATCAGTTGAAAACATCGATAAATCTTTACAAGAATTAAACGAAAGTTTAGGAAAAATTATAGTGATTAAAGACGAACAAATTGAGGAAATTCCTAAAGCACCAACTCCATCAACTATTAACGTTATCTCGGAAAATTTATCAGATTTACAAGAAGCGATTCATTTTACTCATTTAGTGTTAGAAAAACCAAAAACTATCGAAGATGTGAGTCAATTAAGAAATATAAACACACCCTTAAATGAATTTTTAAAATTAATTTTGGTGATTAAACACGAAAAAGGTGATTTAAATTTGTTATCGGAACTCCAAACCCCTTTACATCAATTAGAATTAAAATTGCATCAATCTGTTAATGCTAAAATCGTCGAAGAAGAAATTCCAATTTTAGAAAGGATCGGAAATGAATTTACAAAGATAATCGATATTTCAAAAAGCAAAGAATTTAAGGATCTTAATTTGAATGATTTTTCAAATCCTCTCGATGCGTTACAAAACGTGATTATTTCAGTTTGTTCTAGAGCTGTTCTAACTAATATTCCTGAAGATCAGGAATCGATTATTCAAAAAATTAGTGAACCGCTAGATAAAATTATTAAAGGAATTATTAAAATAAAAACTAAAGTTGGTGAAATTAAAATAATCAATAAAATAATTTCGGAAATTAGTTCAGAAGTTGATGGAATTAATAAAATAATTAATAATAATGATAACGAAATTATAAAACAACTTACACCTATAAATAAATCTTTGGAGGCAACTAAAAATATTAACCAAGATTTAGAATCGTTAAATAAATTTTTAGAAAATTTCCAAAAAGAAATCGAAGAATTTTTAAACAAATCCCAAGAAAATATGTTTAAACCAATCCTCGAAACAATGTTAAATGAGATCAAGTTATTGAATGATATTAGTGATGATTCTAAAGTTATTGAAAGATATGAAAGATTATCTAAAATGATGAAACAATTTAAAACAAGTATCCAAGAAATTATGATTGATCAGCTGTCAGAGAGGCGTGATATCAAAGTTATTGAAGCTATCAAACAACCTTTAACAACTCTGGAAACCAACATTGAAACATTAAAAGCATCCATTCAAGATGTGGCTGAAAAACCGTTTTCAACAACAATGGGATTGGTTGAATCAATCGCTGAAATTAAAGAAGTATTGTTGGAAGTTGAAGAAGTTATAATAACAACCGGAAAAATTGAAGATATTTCTTTAGAAAATATGGAAGTTGTAAAGTATTTGGATGAACCTCTGCAAAAATTATCAATCGCAATAGGTAAGTAGTTTTATTTATTTTAGTTCTATTACTGGTGTGAAATCAGCATGCCAATAGAGTTCACTCAAATTCAGTAAAGTCTGTTTTACTCGATTTTATGATATAATTTATGACTGTTTAGCAAGTTGACTTCAATAGATGATTATTCAATATGTATCCCAGATAATTAACCCATTATGGATAATTCGGTTAAGTTATATTAAATAATCCTGGAAAAAAATAATTTTTTTCAGGAAATAGGTGTGTTCTAAAATCTTCCCAAATTCTTCTAATTGACTGTTTAGTGTTATGAAGGTATTATTTTTAATTAAAATTTCTTAATTTATATGTAATTAATAGTGGGCAATTATCATAGGCTATAGACAAAATCGAAATAGATCGGCAGCATGCGAAAATATTTAATATATTAAATTGTTCATTATTTTTCTCTTTTTCTCCATGGTCATTTAGCATGCATAGCCCAGTCAGTTGCTGGTCAGTTATTGTAGATCTGAGCTATATTCTCACTCTTCTTAGCTAAAACTTCATTCAATCAAACAAGTCGTTGGCGTCAAAGTCATGAAGGCATGATTCAGCTATTGTGGAAAACGTTCATTTTCCTTTGAAACGTGTAGAAGTATTAAGTCTGTTCGAATTTGCTTCCCTTGACAATACTGTAACCATGTGTTATCTTTTTCGCAATGGTTTTGTACAGAATAACAAAACATATGCTTCTTCTTCTTCTAATGGTACACCAGCTCGCTTTGGCCTTAACCTCTTTCAGTTTCTTTCCCCATCTATCTCTATCCATAGCCGCTCTCTTCCAGTTCCTGATGCCGAGGATACTTCTCGCGTCCTCTTCCACCTCATCCTGCCATCTCTTTCTGGGTTTTCCCGCTGGCCTGCGTTGGTCTATTTTAGACTCGAGTACTGTTTTAGGCGTTTCTTCGGACCACGTGATCAGTCATCAGAGTCTTTGTATTCTGACAAAAACGGATATAGGCATCTCTTTATATACACTCAGTTCCAAAAAAAGTGACGCACTTGATTTTTGACCTAATTTTAATATCTTATATTTTTTAAACCAGTGGGCTGATTTTTATTATTTTTTTATTTTTTGGTAGCCAATTCCCTTGTCTTAAAAAAAAAATTAAAAAGGTGGAAATTTTTTCAATGACTCCGGAATGGTAGTGAAAAAACTGGAACCATGTTTTTTTCCTAATTTTTGACTCACCCTGTGTATTAATCAAGTAATGGTATAAAAAGTGCTTACACCCTATATGAAAGACGTTTCTTTTATGAGCATTTTGTTTTTTAATCATTAATTTATCTCTAAAATTGTCCGAATTGAAGCTTTTTTGTTGAAACCTTGCATATTGCCAACTTTCTGAATTTATGGAAAAACAGTTTTCTAGTGAAATAAACTGATACGAATTTTTAAAAAAGTTTTATTAAACACTAAATTATAAACTGGGATAACTGCTTAATACCGTGTATTGCCTCCCCTAGCAACTCTAAGAGTTTCTAATCTAAGCGGCATACTGGAAATCAGGTTTCTTATCGTTTCCATTGGTATACGATCCCATTCTTCCACTAACGCATCTGCTATTTCTGCGAGGCATTCCTGAGGCCTCTCGCGAGAACGTACCCTTCTCCCAAGTTCATCCCACAAATGTTCGATAGGGTTCATATCGGGGCTTCTCGCAGGCCACTGTAATGTGGTGATACCCGTAGCTTCTAAGAAGTTTCGCACTATTACTGCGGTGTGTGGTCGGGCATTATCCTGCATCAATATAAAATTATTGCCCACTAACTCTGCATGAGGTAAGATATACTGTTGTATAATGTCAATGTAAATTTGGGCCGTCATCGACCGGCACACCGGAAAAACATGAAGGGGTGTCTTTCCATTCATTGACATCCCTCCCCACACCATAACCGACCCACCATTAAAACTTTCGCGTTCTGTTATTAAATTCTGATTAAACCTTTCACCAGTCCTTCTTCACACTCTTTTTCTTCCATCCACCATGTTAAGGCAAAACCTTGACTCGTCCGTAAACAAGACATTCGACCATTCAGGAATATTCCATTCTCCATAATTTTGAACAACATTTCTTCTAGCAGCACGATGTTCGGGCAATAATTCAAGACCTTTTGCAGATCTCCTAGCTTTTAAATTAACTTCTTTTAGACGTCTACATACCGTCTGCTTACTTATTGCAACACCACAAATTTGGCGAAGATCTTGCTGAACATTTACCGCAGTGTTTGATCGATTCCGTAAAATCCGCAATCTCAAGAAACGATCATCTCTTGGAGATGTTTTTCTAGGGCGACCAGAACCCACCTTCCGAGCAGTGCTTCCTGTTTGTTCGTACTTGCGGATTGCTCTACGAGCAGTTGTTTCATGGACTCCCACTGCACGAGCGGCGTAACGTCTACCACGCCCATTGTTTACTAAAGCAACTAATCTTGCTACTTGTTCTGGATTTATTTGAGGCATTTCATGTAATTTTAATCACTACAAAACTTTTTTGTAGTTAATTAATGACACAATGACAAATTAATTGCTATGGCAACGTCAATTGTTTGACAATGTGATCATACTTCTTAAATCCCACTGGTTTAAAAAATATAAGATATTAAAATTAGGTCAAAAATCAAGTGCGTCACTTTTTTTGGAACTGAGTGTATTTCGTACAATTCGCGATTATACCTGGATTTTTTTCTTCTTAGGATTTTGCTTTCAAACATGCTTATATAGTTTGTCATTTTCTTGGTGAGGACCCAGACTTCGCACTCATATGTTAATATTGGCCTTAGAACACTGTTATATAAACGTATTTTGTTGGTGGAGTGTACACCACGCAATCTAAATATATGGAGAAGGGCTTTGTTTGCGTCTGTAATCCTTCTTGGGACATCCGGCTCCTCGCTACCATCCTTGGATAGTTTGACCCCCAGGTATGTGAAGTCATTCACTCTTTCCAGGTAAATATCCCCGAAAAAAGAACATGCTGGTGTGTTATTTCTTTCGAACCGGCTTGTTATTGAAGATAAATTCCTCCAAAGAATTACGATCTTTACTAATTTCTATATACATGCTTTCAACATAAGAAAAACTTATACTAATACCTTGTCCAATATAGCTGATGAGCTATCGTTCTTGTAGCTGCGCTACACTCTGGCGTCGTAGCCAGATCTTCAAGAGCCTTATATATTTTGGTGGTTTTCATAAAAAAAATGAAATAGCTTTATAATTTACAAACCATCTTGCTTCCCATAAGAGAGGGAAATTTGCCACTAATCTTGTAAAACACTATCTCGAATGACGAATTACTTAATACTTGAAGAATAATTTTGATTTTCCCAAAATGAGCTTAAGTAATTAGATTTGTTCCAACCGTATATCTAGGACTAGTTCATAGATTGAACATACTTTCCTTCACATATTCAGGATTTCAACTTACATTTGAATGGATGCAAAGTTTTTACAAAAGTGGATGTAGTAAGGGCATATCATCAAATTCCAGTAGAAGAAGACGATATTCCCAAGGCAGCTATCATCATTCCTTTTGGTCTTTTCGAATTTACCCCTATGCCCTTTGGCCTCCGTAACGCTGCTCAGAACCTTCCACGAGGTTCTTTCGAATATCAACTTCTTATTCGTTTATTTATATGGCATTCTCATTGCAAGTCATAACGAACAAGAACATTATTTACATCTCGAGAAATTATTTGAATGGTGAAGTGCATTCAATATCAACATCCAACCATCAAAATGTGTTTTTAGAGTTACTCTCATAAATTTTCTCTGTAATCATATCACTATAGCGACGGTATTCAACCTTCTAGGACTAGGATTGATGCTATTTCAAAATTTCCAAAACCAAAAACATTAAAGGAACTACAAAGATTTTTAGGCATGATAAATTTTTATCTTTTTGCCTTTGAGGCCTATTTGCGAAATTTTAGATTTCAAATATCCCCCATAAGAAGAAATCAGGGCTGATAGAACCTGGTGACCTTGGCGGGCAATTAAAATCACTATGTCGAGATACAAGTCATCCAGGAAACATATTTCTTAGAGCAGCCATGCAAATTCTCCCAGTATTGTATGTTGCTTCATCTTGCCAGAACCACAAGTGGATATTTTCTAACCCCAGTTATTGGAAACAAATTTGAATCATTTCCAAATACCCTTAAGAAGTTACAGTTACCGTACAGTTTCCATTGGTTCATTTTCTTCGAAAAAGTACGGGTCTAGTACATATTCCGAATGCAACCACACCGAATGATACGTCTGACCACAAAAACTGCGTTGCTTTAATGGCCAGTCTGGCCACGTATCTATGACTACTAAGCTGCATCGCATACAAAATATTTTCAGCCATTGATTCTTCCCTTCACTTTACTCATATTCCAACAGTGGCGTTTCAAAAATCATCAATACTCACCGCCTTGTATTATATATTCTCGCAAATATAATTAATGCCACATTTTTATTATACCAAAATGGAGTTTCTCTGTCCCATAAACTTATATATTGGTGGTGTAATGGTATTACAGCTTTAGAACGATATTTTGGAAAACAAACTTCGGCTGACAAAGAATGGCTCTCAAACACGAGTAGTTCAACTTTCTTACAATTCTTCTAAGAGTGTGTTAGGCAGATTTCGTCCACTCTATCACGAGTTAATTTCGCCACTTTATTATCTAAGGAACTCTTTGAGGTGGAACTCGAACTAAGTCGCTGCAGTATCCCTCGTTGTCGGGAGAGTGGTGCAAAACGGTTTTTATTAGTGCTAAGCTTAAGTTAGAGACGTAGACTAGATTTGATTGATGAAAATCCAAATTCTGCAATGAAAAATTTCAAATTGCCGAATTTAAAAAAAAAAAAAATCATACGTAGTAAAGATAACCTTCTCTCCTTGTCTTGTGCTATAGCAGCTATTGAAACCTCTTAGTCGCAATTAATTACGATAAATAATAAGATTGATTGGAGCTTTTATGTAGGCAAGACTGAAGTTAAACATGACAACAAATTAAAGATGTTGACCGTGCGTATATTAAAATTTTAAGACATACGACACTAAGATATAACACTAAGAAGTTTTTAAATTGGAATGGTTAGATAAATACTTTTAGCTAGAAAGACAGTCAGAAAATTATTGTGTGTTACAAGATCACTTTGAATTACTAGTATATTAGCAAAGTAAATAAAAGGTAATCAGCTATTTAACTTTCACAACCTCCCAATCAAACTTCATTGTTGCCATGGTCATAATAGCAAAGTATAGTTCGAAAACAGAACCTGTTCTTAATGTACTTCATGGCGTTAGCATAAATTTTCTTGACGTTAAGAAGTATATAGGAACAATTGAAGTACCTTTAAGAAATATAAAGTAAGTACGAAAAAGATCCAATCAAGAAAATATGGCATGGTCGTTTATTCCATATGTTTATTATTATTACTCCATTAAGTGTCAGCTAAGATTTAAAATGATTTCGAGTTAAAACGACTTTACCGTGTAATAATTTTCACTAAACTTTCAGCGTGTTGATTTCACACCTATGATTTTTTCCCCATTATGTTTTGATTGTTATTGTTATTTTTCTTAACTAACACCAGGTAATATAAAGATTGTTGAACAGAAACCGGTTATAAAAGATCTAGATAAAGCGATGATCTTAAAAACAGTTGGAGCATTAAAAACTTCCATTGAAATGGTAATTCAAAAAGTTGAAGTTCAACATTTTGAAGTTATCATTAAAAAACTTGAACCTTTAAAAGCAACGATTGAACAATTTGAAGATGTTATAAAAGAGGATATGGGTGTAAGAAAAGATGATGTATTTACCACAAATATGTTAAAGATAACAGAAGAAATATTGAAAGAACTTGAAAAGATTTATGAAAAAATTAAAATTTCAAATCCTATCGATAGAGTTGTTTATAAAATTGTGTTGGAGTTAGACAAACCAATTAAATCAATCGAAGAAAATGTTAAGTTTGTTAGAGAAATAATTGAAAATCACGTTGTTGATGATATTAATGAGACATCGTTTGCAATATTGAAATCTATCGACAATAATTTATTGGAATTAATTGGATCTTTAACCGAATTAAATAATATCTCCGAAACTTCCATTCAAAATGTTTCAAATAAATTAAAAAATTTAATTCCAAATTTAGAATTGGTGACTTCTCTTCCTCTTGATACGATTTGTTTGGAGTTTTTAAACTCTTCGTTTGTTGAATTAAAAAGATCTTCAATTAACGTCGTTAACAATTTAAAACAAGTCCCAGTTATTTTAGAAGTTTCTTCAATTTTAAACCAAACGAAAAACAATTTAATTGAAATCCAACAAAGTTATCAAAGCTTATCTCCTGTTTTGGAAAGATTAAGCGTGTTTAAAGATTTAATGTTAATCAGTCGCGAATTGGAAGGAATTAATTTAATTATTGACGAATTTTTAGATAACACTTTTATTTTAGAAAATTTCAGCAAAGAAAACATTTCAAATATGACAGAAATTAATTCAATTTTAATCGATTTAAAATTAGTTAATCAAAATATTTTGAATATTTCCCAATTTGACGATAGCAAAATTAATGATGAAGTAAATAAAATAATTGAGCAATTAGATAATATCGAGGTTCGTTTAAATAAATTTGTAACTCAGCCCAGAATGATTGACGAATTAAAATTGAACGTTTCAAATATTGATAAAATTTTATTGGGTGTTAAAAATAAGTCGAAAGATAACCATGAAATCAAACAAATTCAAAGTGATTTGAGTGTTTTATTCGAAAATTTGATACAAAGTTCAGAGGAGGATCTTATTTTAAAGCCGAGCAAAGAAATTTTAGAAATAATTAAGAAGATGTCAAGTAAGGAATTGTTTGTTAAGTTAATAGAGCTTCAGGAACCAATAAAAAAGTTTATAGAGACGAAAAATTATAATTCTTTAAGACAATCAATTAATAATTGCGTTTTTGGCGATGATTTATTAAAATTAGATAAATCTAAATTGATTCAAAATAATTTAAAGAATCTTTCTGAAAGTTTGTCCCAAATAATTAATAAAACGATTCAAGAAAATGTTGAAAATAAGATTTCAAATATTTTATTAGGATTAGAAAAGTTGTTTTTAACATCTAAATTAATGGCTACATCTTTTGAAAGTGCTAAAATTAATTTACCTTTACTTGGTCTTGAAGATGTTGTTAACCCAATAAATTCGATCCATACTACAATTGGGTTGATTCAAGAAAAACTTAAAACGGATAAAAATATTTCGGAAAATTTATCTGAAAAGTTACTCCGACTTCAAACAGGGATGAATTATTTAGCAACTGCAATGAAATCGAGTGTTGAATTATTGAATGAGAATGTTGTGAGTGTTTCCCAATTAATTCCAGCTTTGGAGAAGTATAACAATGAAATCAATGAAATCATTAAATCGGAATCGAAATCAGAAATTATAAATTTCCTCGGAGATCTTGAAATGAACGTTAAAGATTTGTGTGATAAATTAAAATTGGTTGATTCACGACAAAGTAAGTTAGAAGAAATACAACCAATTATTAAGAGTGGGTTATGTTTAGAAGAAACAACAAAAGATGTTATTGCTAAAGACTTAGAAAATCAACGATTATTTAATTTAATCAAAAATTTAAATGCACCATTAAAAGATTTTAATAAATTTACGAAAGAAGATCTTGATTTATTAGATAATAAAGATATTAAGAATTTATCGAGCTTAATCGAACCGGTTTTAAAATTATCAGAATTTATTAAAACATCGTCGAGTACTTTAAATAGGGATGAATTATTGCTAAAAATAGTGGCGCTTAAATCTGCAATAAGTCCAATCACAAGAAGTAGTAAATTTCCTAAGAAATTATGTCTTGAAAGGTTGAGGGAAGAATTAGAGGAAATTGAAAAAGAATTAATTAATTTTAACACTGTAATCAAACCCATTAAGGAGTTAGCAAATTTAGTTGAAAATATCCAAAATAATTTGCAAAAATCAACGCAAGATATGCCATCTCCTCAAAAGGCAATAAAAATTGAAAATCTTGTTGAACCCCTTAAAGAACTCAAATCAAATTTAGTGAATTTAGAAGAAATTTTGTACGAAGAAATTGTTCCTATTGAAGAAATTAATAAAATAGAATCGATTAAATCTACAATAGAAGAATTATCTAATGAAAAATTGACTGAAATGCCTCAAACCATAAAAGTATTAAATCATCTTAAACAAAGCATCGAAAAAGTTAAATTTACTTCAAATGAGCAACATTTGCAAAAAGTTGAAGGAAGTCTTCAAAAATTATCAGCCACGATATCCGAAATACAATCAGAGCATAAAAAAGAAATCTTAAAAACAGAACCTTTAAAGCTAGATATACAACAATTAAAAGATTCTTGCGAAAAATTATCGAAAATCGAAAACATCCAAGTTGAAAGTCAAAAAGTTGTTTTGTCAGTTATTGGATTAGAGAAACAATTAAAAACACTTCACGAAGCGGTTAAACAACTTGAAGATGTTTACGATAAAGAAGAAATAGACGATATCTTCCATGATGTTTTAACTAAAGTCAACTTGATGGATGAGCCAATAAAGAAATTCAACTTATTTATTTTGAGTTCTATTTCCCCAGCTGAAGGAGTTGGTGTTTTAAAAATCGATAAACCTTCGTTAGGAAAAGCTGTTTCTTCTCTAAAAGAAGAATTGAGTAAGAGTAAACTTACAGAAATTGAAACGAAGAAGTTAAAGTTTATTGATGTTGCAATTGAGGTTTTAAATGCACAACTTAGTGAAATTGAAGATGTATGTAAAGAAGAAATTGAGTTAAAACGAGTTGGGGAGGATGAAATTAAAGATGTTAAAGCTCAAGAAGAAAAAATTGAGATTGTTTCTGAAGAAATAAAGACGGAGGAAGATAAATCAAAAGAAGATAAAATTGGAGAATTATCTAAAGAAGTTGATAAAGAAGAAGAAAAATTAATAACCCAACAAAGTCTTGGTGAAGAGATTGAGGCAGATTCTAAAGATGAAGTGAAGAATGCTGCAGAAGAAGCAAAGATGGAGGAAGATAAACGAAAAGAGGATGAAATTGCGGAACCATCCAAAGAGATTGCTAAAGAAGAAGAAAAATTACTAAGCCAAGTTTCAGAAGAGAAGATTGAGGTTGCTGCTAAAGATGAAGTGAAGGAAGCCCCAGAAGAAGCAAAGGCAGAGGAAGTTAAACCTAAAGAAGAAAAACTTGAGGAACCAACCAAAGAGGTTGTCAAGGAAGAAGAGAAAGTAGTACTCCAGCAAGTTTCAGAAGAGAAGGTTGAGGCAGTTTCTAAGGATGAGGAGAAACAAGTTCAAGAAGAAGCAAAGATAGAGGAAGATAAACGAAAAGAGGAGAAAATTAAGGAACCACCCAAAGAGATTGCTAAAGAGGAAGAAAAATTACCAAGCCAAGTTTCAGAAGAGAAGATTGAGGTTGTTGCTAAAGATGAAGTGAAGAAAACTCCAGAAGAAGCAAAGACAGAGGAAGTTAAACCTAAAGAAGAAAAACTTGAAGAACCAACCAAAGAGATAGTCAAGGAAGAAGAAAAAATAGGAACCCAGCAAGTATCAGAAGAGAAGATTGAGACAGTTTCCAAAGATGAAGAAAAGAAAACTCAAGAAGAAGCAAAGACAGAGGAAGATAAACCAAAAGAAGACAAAATTAAAAAACCATCCAAACAAGTTGGCAAAGAAGAAGAAAAATTACCAACCCAACAAGTTTCAGAACAAAAGAGTGAGGCAGTTTCAAAAGATGAAATAAAGAAAACTCCACAAGAAGCAAAGAAGGAGGAAGTTAAACCTAAAGAAGACAAACCTGAAGAACCATCCAAAGAGGTTGTCAAAGAAGAAGAAAGATTACCAATCCAACAAGTTTCAGAAAACAAGATTGAGGCAGTTTCTAAAGATGAAGTGAAGAAAGTTCCAGAAGAAGCAAAAACGGAAGAAGCTAAACCAAAAGAAGACAAAGTTGGAGAATCATCCAAAGAATCAAGCAGTGTTGATGTAAAAGAAATAAAACCAGAAGAAATTAAAGAACCAAAAACAGAAAGTCAACAAAAGGAAGATGTTAAATTTGAAGAAGAACAAAATCTTCTCAAAACATCTTTACATAAAATCAAATCAGACCTAAACACTTTAGAACCTCTTGTATCTGAACTTCCAAAACCACTTCAAGGATTTTCTTCACTAATCGAATTACGCGAATCCATCGAAGACGTAGAAATGGGATTAGAAATAGCCCAAGAACTTAGTACTGAAGACAAAAAATCATTGAATTTGGCTGAAATGATCGAACCAATAAAGTTAACATCGACAGTAATTGAAAATGTCGTCACAAAACTTCAACACCAACAAATCAACGAATTAGAAAAAGAAAAACCTTTGGTATTAACCGCTTTAAAAGCAACAAAAGAAACCGTTGAGGTTGTTATGACTCAAAAACAACAAAAAGGAGAAATTGAGGTTGTCAACAAAACTTTGGAATTGTTATCGGCGAAATTGGGTGAGGTAATCCAAAGGGTTGAAAAGAAACCAAAAACGGTTCTTCAAGAAATTTTAAATGAAACTAAAAAGGAGTTGGAAATGTTAAATGTAGAAGGGGTGAAAAAAGTTGGAGTACTTTCGATTGTAGAATTAAGCAAACCTTTGGAAGTTGTTGAAAATTGGTTGGATAAGGAAAAAATTGAAAAATTGGATGTTCTCGTAAACCCATTGAAAGAAATTGCAGCTTTAATACCATGCATTATACCTCAAATATTTGTAGTTAATAAACCAAAACTTTTGCAAGCCCTAAAAGCAATTAAAGAAGAAATTAATATTGTGATACAAGACAAAAATTTAAAGAAAGCTAAAATTGATTTAAAACCAATTAAATCATTATCCACAAAAATCGAAAATATTATTAAAGAAATCGAATCTAAATCGCCAATAAAACAAAACATTGAAATAATTTGCAATAACATCCAAACTCTTCATTCAAACATAAAAAAATTAGATAAATCCCAACAATTAGGAATATTGAGTCTTAACGATTTACATCAACCGTTAAAAGATCTCGATATCGCGTTAGAAAATGTTGAATTCGTTTCAATTGAAGGTGTTGAAGAATTAACACCTCAAAAATTGATCGAATCTATTAAAACTCTTTCGTTAGCTATACAAAACGTTATAGAAGCACCAATCAATATCAAACAAATCGAATTGGAAACACCCAAAGTTTTAAATGCTTTAAAATCAATGAAGGAAACTTTAGTAATTGTCGAAAATAACAAGGATTTAAATCAAATTAAAGAAGTTTCCGTTAAAGTAAACGCTTTATCTGCGAATTTAAGCGATGTTATTCAAAAAATTGAAACCGAAAAGTATAAAAAATTAAAATCTGTTTTAGTCGAAACGAAGAAAATGTTGGAAAGTTTGAAATTAAAACCGAAGGATTTATCTCCAACTCAACGAGGTGTTCTTTCCTTAGTAGAACTAAATGTACCTTTAGAAAATGTTAAAGAGTGGCTTGAATCTAATCCCAAAGAAATTTTAACAATTTCTGAAGAATTAAAATCAATTGTTGAACCCTTAGAATTATTATCGTCCAGTTTATTTGAAATTTCCCAACCTAAAACCACGAAAGAAAAACAAAGCGTGGTTGAAATTGAAAAACCTAAACTTCTTAAAGCTTTATTATCCACAAAAGAAAACCTGGAAAAACATTCTTTGAAAGAAAACCTTGCAAAATTCCAAATTTCTTTTGAACCTTTACAAAATTTAGCTGGTAAAATTTCAGAGATAATCAACATAATCGAAGAAAAACGTGGCCTATCCGAACAAGGGAAATTGTTAAAAGCTACCCTTCAAGAAACTCAAAGCAGTTTACAAGCTTTACAATTAAACGTTGAAGAAATCCAACCGGTTAGGCAACAAGGTTTAATGACTTTAAGCGCTTTGAGTCAACCAATCGAGAATGTACAAGATTGGTTAGAAGCTTTAGAAGATGTTAAATTGGTAGGAGAAGAAAATGTAGCGGTGGAAGAAGTTTCCGTTTTAATCGAACCACTTAAATCAATAGCAAAAGCTATCATCAACATTTCCGAAAATGTCCAAAAGAAAGATGTCGCTAACATTGAATCTGATAAAACATCTTTAGTTAGTGATTTAAATCTAATGAAACGCACCGTTGAAGAAGTTATTTTTAAACCGGATGTTAAAAAAATAGAAGTTTTATCAACACCTTTAGAAAAGCTTGCTTCTAAACTTGGCGAAGTTTGCGAAGATTTACAAAAGAAACCCGATGTTCCAGTTCCTTTAAAGAGTACTGTAAGCAAAGTTTGTAATGAAATAAAAATTTTAGAAAATCTCGAGGTGAGCGATCAAGGTTTATTATCAATCGGTGAATTATGCAAACCATTAGAAAATATACAAGAATTATGCGAAAATTTGGAAAAAATGAATATTTCTCCGATTTACGAAGAAAATGCTAAATTAGCTGAAAATTTAAGCGATCTAATCAAACCTTTAGAAAAAATTACAGCTTCAATTATCGATGTAACGCAAAGTGTTAAAGCAAAACAACCAAAGAAAGTTGAAAGTAATAAAAAAGTTGTTTTAAAAGCTTTAATTTCAACTAAAGAATCTTTGGAGTTAATGTCGTCTCAAGACGTTTTTAAAAGGATTGAAACGAAGAAGCCTTTAGAAGGGCTGCAAGTTAAGGTGTTGAATGTTATAGATGCTTTACAAAAACCGAAAGAAGACAAAACGAAATTAATTAAGGAATCGATTAAAGAGACTCGTGTAAATATCGAAACGTTAAAGAGTAGTATTGAAGATGTTAAACCAATCGTAAAACAAGGGTTAATTTCGATTGTTGAGTTATCTACTTGTTTAGATGAAGTTAAGAATTTGTTGGAGGATGAAAAAGTTGGTGAAGTTTTAGAGGATGAAACTAAAAAGAAGATTAACCAAGCTGGAAAGCCATTAAAGATCGTTTCAGAATCGATTGAGTGTTTATCAAATTTGGCGAAAAAGGAAGATGTTAAAGAAATGAAATTGGAGAAGCCGAAACTCCTTCAAGCAATGAAATCGATGAAAGAAAATCTGGAAATTGTTACAAATTCGTTGAAAAGTAAAGAATCAAAAGCTGTTTTAAAACCGATTGATGATTTAGCACAAAAAATTGTTGCTGTTATACAAGAAATGGAAGAAAGTTTTGATGTTAAAAGTCTTCAAGAAACAATTTTAGATCTAAACAAAGAAATTGAGACCCAAAAAGAAATTAAATTATCTGAATTGAAGGAACCTTTAAAGGAAATTGTAAATGTTTTTGAAACTGTGCAAGTTTTTGATGAATTAAAAGGAAAAGCTGTGGAAATTAAAGTAATTGAGAAACCATTAAAAGAATTGGCTGTTTTGATACATCAAAAATCGTCGGAACAAAAAGGAAAGATTGGAAAAATTGATGGTGAGGTTATTAATGCTTTGAAAGCTGTTAAAGAATCAATTACTACATCGAGTTTTTCATCTAAACAAGAAAAGCCGATGATTTTATCGGAATCTTGGAATAAATTAAACGCAAAAATAACGAATGTTTTAGAAGATGCTGAAAAGTCGAAAGAAGATAAAACAAAATTAATTAAGGAATCGATTAAAGAGGCTCGTGTAAATATCGAAACATTAAAGAGTAATATCGAGGATGTTAAACCAATTGTAAAACAAGGGTTAATTTCGATTGTTGAGTTATCTACTTGTTTAGATGAAGTTAAGAATGTATTGGAAAATGAAAAAGTTGGTGAAGTTTTAGAGGATGAAACTAAAAAGAAGATTAACGAAGCTGGAAAGCCGTTAAAGATCGTTTCAGAATCGATTGAGTGTTTATCAAATTTGGCGAAGAAGGAAGATGTTAAAGAAATGAAATTGGAGAAGCCGAAACTCCTTCATGCAATGAAATCGATGAAAGAAAATCTGGAAATTGTTACAAATTCGTTGAAAAGTAAAGAATCAAAAGCTGTTTTAAAACCGGTTGATGATTTAGCACAAAAAATTGTTGCTGTTATACAAGAAATCGAAGGAAGTTTTGATGTTGAAAGTCTTCAAGAAACGATTTTAGATTTAAACAAAGAAATTGAGACCCAAAAAGAAATTAAATTATCAGAATTGAAGGAACCTTTAAAAGAAATTGTAAATGTTTTTGAAACTGCGCAAGTTTTTGATGAATTAAAAAGAAAAGCTGGGGAAATTAAAGTAATTGAGAAACCATTAAAAGAATTGGCTGTTTTGATACATCAAAAATCGTCCGAACAAAAAGGAAGAATTGGAAAAATTGATAGTGAGGTTATTAATGCTTTGAAAGCTGTTAAAGAATCAATTACTACATCAAGTTTTTCATCAAAACAAGAAAAAGCAATGATTTTATCGGAATCGTTGAATAAATTGAACGCAAAAATAACGAACATTTTAGAAGATGCTGAAAAGCCGAAAGAAGATAAAACGAAATTAATTAAGGAATCCATTAAAGAGACATGTGTAAATATCGAAACTTTAAAGAGTACTATTGAGGATGTTAAACCAATTAAAAAACAGGGATTAATTTCAATTGTTGAGTTATCTACATCTTTAGATGAAGTTAAGAATTTGTTGGAAACTGAAAAAGTTGGCGAAGTTCTAGAGGATGAAACTAAAAAGAAGATTAACGAAGCTGGAAAGCCATTAAAGATTGTTTCAGAATCGATTGAGTGTTTATCAAATTTGGCGAAGAAGGAAAATGTCAAAGAAATG